TTCACCCTTACCTTCCACCTTTTTATTGGACAAAATGTCATTTTTATCCATTTTTCAATAAAAGACATTTTTACCCTCCTATTCAAATAAAACAATAAGAAAAAAATGAATAACCAACTGCAATTATAGTCCTTAAACTTGTAAAAAATTACAAAGAAATCATAATTTCTCCAACACCACTACTTTCACAACCTACAGGCTTGGGGAGAGTGAAAGTACTGGTGGTGGAGTCCGACAGGCGTGGTAGTCAGAAGGTGGTGCTATGTGGATCTATAGATGACGGCTTGGTGGAGTTGTGAAAGTGGTGGTGGTGGTGGAGAATTTAAAACTTATCTGTAATATTTTGAAAAAATTAGGACTATGATTCCAATTAATTGTTTATTTTTTCTTTTCTTGTCTTTTCCTTTTGGTTCATTTGAATAGATGAGTAAAATTGTCATTTAATTGAAAAAAATGGTTGAAAATGACCTTTTGTGCAATGAAAAGTGAAAGATAGGGGTGAAAATGTCAAAAAAATAAAAGATATGGACGTTTTGTATAATGACATTGAAATGTATGGACATTTTGTGCTATTTACCCTTTTAATTTCATATGGGTAAGGCATTTCTTAATATGTGGAGTCTCAATTGGATTTTGGGGAAGAAGATGAAGTAAAGTAGGGTAGAGTGGAAAATAAAATTCTAAAGATTTGATATTGTAGGTGGTAATTATGAAAAATTTGGATTTAATATGTAAAAAATAAAAAGTTTGGGTACTGAAATTATAATTTTTTTTTTTTATTTTGGCATTTTTTTTAACGAAAAATCTAATGGATATTGACGATATGGGGTTTTCAAACAGGGGGTTTTCTACATTTTTCAATAGGTAAGGGTATATCGCGCGTGGAAATGTTTAAATGAGGGTTTTCTGTTATTAATCCAAAGAAAGAGTAATTAGCACATGACGTTCACACCTTTCATTGTCATTGTGTATAACGTCAATACCTTTTATTTTTTGACATTTTCACCATTATTTTCACATTACATTACGTAAAAGGTCATTTTCACCTATTTTCTCTATTGAAAATTATGAAATGATGAATATACCTCCTATATTTGAATAAAACAAAAAGAAAAACTAATTGCAATCGCAGTCCCAATTTTTTTTAAAAAAAATGCAAATAAGTCACAAATAAATTATTAAAATGGTAATTAGACATTAATACATAATGTACATATCTTTCACAATTATTGCGAAAAACGTCTATATCTTTCATTTTTTTGACATTTTCATCCTTAATTACACATTTGATTGTGCAAATCATCATTTCTATCCATTTTTATCCAAATTTTCAATAAAAAATTGTGAAATAATGAATATACCCTCCTATTTAAATAAAAATATATTTTTTTTATTTTTAATTCTTTAATAATTTATTTGGAATTCATTTGCACTTTTTAATTTTTAAATAAAATTAATTGGGGCTCGTTTTCACTTTTAAAAGAATAATTTTTAAAAAATAATTTTTGGAGATTCGTTTGCACTTTTTTTAAAAAAAAATTGAGAGTATGGTTGCAATTAATTCTTTAGCTTTTTATTTAAATGGGAGGGTATATTCGTCATTTTATAACTTTTTATTGAGAAATTGGATGAAAAATGAATAGAAATGATGGCTTGCACAATTAAATGTGTCGTTAAGGGTGAAAATGCCAAAAAAAAATAAAATGTATGGACTTTTTTGCAATAATATTGAAAGGTATGGACATTATGTGCTTATTATCGTTTAAATAATTTATTTGGGACTCATTTACGTTTTTGAAAAAATTTGGGACTATGATTGCAATTAATTTTTTTTCTTTTTCCTTTTGTTTTATTTAAAGAGAGGGGTATGTTTGTCATTTTACAAATTTTAATTGATGAAAATGACCTTTTGCGAAATGAAAGATGGAAATGATGGTGAAAATGTCAAAAAATGAAAGGTAATGATGTTTTCCATAATAAGAGTGAAAGGTGGGGACATTATGTGCTAATTACCAAAAAAAAAACTATAGATGGAGTTTCCAATCTTTTCAAAATAGTGCAATTAGGTCCTCAATCTTTTATTTATCGCGAGTGTGACCTAAATCAGTGAGTTTGTAACAAGTAACTCACCATTGGACTGTCCGTCAATTTAACCATGGAAAACTTGTTTTTAAATTATTATAATCTTGGATTTATAGTTTTCTTGTTTAATTAATAATCTGATAGTATGCAATTAATTCTATTTCTTTTTAATCAAACAAATGACGGAAAAATGTATATAATAAAATATAAATATTTTTTCTTAGAAATTAAGGAAGTCGTTTATAGAAATCAGTTCATGTAGCTTCCCCATATTGAAAGTGAGGTGCTAAACGACATGAAATGAAAGAATATGTTAGCTAATATCCATATTAAATTAAGCATGAAAGGAAGATTCAGTCAATCTTATTCCTCATTACAAAGCAATTTTCCTTAAGTCCCTAAAACTTAATGACTTTGAGGCATGTAAAAGTTTGATTTTTGCCGGTTTCCCTTTGAGGGCTCGAGGTAAATCAGTTCGATTTTCAGTTTCTAACATGGAGACAATGCTAGGACTTTCAAGTCTAAGCCTACATACGACTCATTGTTTTCAGGTGTTTATAAATATCTTAGTCAAAAAATACATTTGATTAAATCACTTTTTGTTTTACGTATTTCGTAGAATCCACAAGTAATATTGACTTCTCCATCGTTCATTTGACCATTTTTTATAAACATCTTGCGAGTGCATACCCTAAGTGCCAGTTTGGAGTCCTGAAAAGAATGAGTCTCTTCAGCCTTCCACATGAAAGGGGTAGATGACAATACCCTCAAATGCATAAATTAGTATTTGAATTTGAATTGAATTCGAAATTGAAAATTCAAGTGTAAGACCTCATTATATGAGAAAATTAATCAAAAGTAGAATAATTTCTCTCGCGTGTGTAAACTCTAGTGATAATCTAGCTTATCTACTTACGAAACTTCTTTCAAAAGAATTTATCAACACATGGAATTTATAAAGACATGGCTATGTGAGGAAATTAATCAAAAGTGAAATAAGTTCTCTCACGTATGTAAAGTCTAGTGAGAATCTAGCTTATCCATTTTAATCTCTTTCAAAGAAGTAATCAAGACATGAATATATGAGGAAATTAATCAAAAGTTGAATAATTTCGCCCACATAGACATATGTAAAGTCTAGTGAGAATCTAGCTTATCCATTTATTAAACCTTTTTCAAAAAGAAAGTAGGGTAAACATCAAAAAGGATGGAGCTAAAACTCCTTAATTCAAAAAATCGTCAATCATTGCAATTCTACCTAGCATGAAATTAACCTATATGACAAAGTGGCACCACTTCAATTAAGGGTTGGAATTTCGCTCTCAACAGTTAACAAATTAGGATAAGCGTAAGGTCATAAAATACATAGTTTGAATGGTGCGGAACCAAAAAAATACTAAAGCATTTTTGTTTGTTGTATCACCGATTTTGTCACAAGGGATAACTGATTCAAACTCTTACACTACCTGGAATTTTGACAATCAATTTGTAAGATTTGCACTAAGGTAAATTTTCAAATCAAAAGATAATGTTACCATATTCTTGAGGACTGTTCGTTTCCGAAAGGCTTTGTCTGAACAAAATGGGGGAATGTTAGAAAATTTGTTCAAATAATAAAAGAAGTTTAAAGTTAAATGACCAAAACAAACTTAAGGAAAAATTGGGAGTTGGAAATAATATTGGGAGGGACTAACTTGTATATCTCAAATTAAGTTTTAATCTTGAATTTCAAATGGTTTTTGCAGCTAGAGCGAGAGAGTATTTCTTTTAGGCCCCGTTCGGGAGGGATTAAAAGCCAATTAAAATTGAAAATATGGCCGTTTTTGGGTCCCACTCGTCTAATAAAAGTCAACAATAACGGCTATATTTTCAATTTTAATCCGATTTTAATCCCTCACATACAAGGCCTTAATTGTAACTTCAAATATTTCAGAAATTTCATTTTTCCCATTTAAAATTTTCACTTCATTGCTTTGTGCAAATTCTCAAAGGCTAGTCATATCCCACAAAGCTATTTATCGAAGATCACGAAAGCACTCCATGAGGGAGCAAATATCGCTTTGCAGAGAGCTTATCTCTTATGTGTTTCTAGCCACAAGTTCCTGTGTTAAACTTGGTTCGTATTTTAGTTTCTTCTCTGTCTTCTTCTTCGAGAGAGAGAGAGAGAGATACAAGAAGATATATCCAACATATTATGCAGCGAGGAACGCGTTAAATATTTAAGAAGATTCAGTGACTCCCTACCTTAACCCCTATACTTGTTACGCCTTTTAAGGTGCAAACGAGGTTCGGACCTATTCTCTTTTACTTGATAATTCGGAGGTTTGATGGCTTGCGAACTAAGGGTCCCTTGTAGATGGTATATTTGCAAAGCTGTGGACCCTCACTAGGTTGTTTAGCGAAGGAGGTGCCCCTATATAGTTGACTTATTATCGAATAATTTCCTATAATGCTGAAGACCAAGAAAATTCAAAAGTTATTATGATTCAAATTTCTGACATCATTATTGTGAAAACGTTTAATCACCGACACGTACGACTTCGTTTTATGGAAATTAATTGATAATTAACATTCAAGAAAAATGAATATAATGTTAAAACCTTTTCTTCACACTTACTCCAAGTCTTTCACATGCTGAAGCTGTCCCTTGTGTGTGCTTGACTAATAGCTTTAGAAAATATAAAGATGAAAAGACAAGAAGACGCAAAGATCGAAGGAAAAGACGTAACAAAAATATAATTCGGAGTCAAGAAACGATTGTCTAAAGTTAAAGATTAAAGTTCAGATTGACGAATTAAGCAAAAAGACTGAAGAATATATACATGAGAAACATTTCTAGGATGGTCCACACTGAACCACGCCGAACGAGGTTATAAAAGTGAAATCATGTCGGTTTTTTGGTTTAATATTGTTAAATACTACATTCCGAACATGTATGTTGGGCTCCCCTTGGGGACGAAATGATCCCCGGAGGGATCGACAGCACAAAGAGACTCTATTTTCACCGAGTCTTGCACTATAGAACTGCTAGAAGAAGAAGAAGCAAAGCTGAGGTATTGTTGTAGGTTATGATCCAAGTTATTGCTGGCAAAAAGAAGACAATTTTCAGCAGGTGGTTCAACCATTTGAGGCTGCAAATTAGGAGGTTCTTGTTGCATCTGAATGCACAAAATCTCTGCTTGAGCCACAGCCAATTGCATTTGTAGTTGCGCCACTTGATTCTGCAAATAAGAGATTGCTCCAACACACCCATAAACAGGATCTCTCATTCTCGAGTTTGCTTCGTACACTAAACTGCTTACTGCATCTGCTCTTTGATGTACAGGAAGCTCCTGTATAAAAGTTTCAGAAAAAATAAGAAAAAATGTCATTCTAGATTCTATTTAGGGTTTAATACTCATCAACCACTGGTTTTGAAGTCTCTGATGCCCTTTTTCTAGTATTGAAAGGAAGTTGAAAATCGACAAACCTGTAGCATCTTGCTGACATTGCTAGCACCAAAAACCTTGTGAACAATGGCAAACTTGTGAGGATCATCAGGGGGGAAATAAGGGGCGAACACGCAGTCTTTGGTGCAGCGTCGTCTCAGAAGTTTGCAGGAAGCACAAGGTGAGCTACCTGATCCCATTTGGTTCGAAAAAACTTTATATAGAGAGAGAGAGAGAGGGAGGGAGACAAGGAGATAGAAAAGAAATAAAGGTGTTAGTTTGAAAAAGAATGAGGTATGGAAACCTACTTATAGTCCAACATAGAGGTGGAGATGCACAATAAAATGGATTATTATATAATGTGAAACATTTTCGTTCAACCTAATTAAATTTACGCGTAAATGGTACGATGTAATGAACTTGACAATGAACAAATATTTAACATGTCTCATAATTACGTCGAGTAACCAATATTCCATTTAAACATATTGTCATCACGTTTATTTTGAAAATAAAATAAATATAACTTTCGAAATATAGTTATTTTCTTCTCTCTTTTTTTTTTTATAGAAAAAAAAAAAAGGGCTTTGGCAGACACAACTAAATTACTTGTTTATTTAGGCTTCTTGAAAATATTGCCATCCTATGCATCAAGGGCTACAAGAGTCTTACTTCTAACTTGAAGATTTATAAATCAAGGGTGAGGAGGGATTGACCACCGTCACGATGTGTGATAGGTTGGCGATTCATGCAATGAGTTTTGTTTTTTTTTTTTAAATTCCACGTTGTTCTTTGACTCTAATTTCTACTACAAACTTTTTAAATTTCTTTTAAAAAAATAAAAAATAAGAAAAAGGGCAATTGGGAATCCCACATAGTATTTGTTTAAAGATTAGAACGACAAAAGCAATTAATTGATGGTAACAACTAGGAGAAGGGCTAGCTAGGGTTTTAGCAAAGACACTATACCCTAAGCAAGGTCAAGATGGGTTCGACGTGAATGTTTGTTTCTTTTACATTCACATGGACATCAATTTTCATACATATTAAGAATCCAACAGTAAGGACCCCAAAAACTATTGTCCCTATAATTATAATAATTTCATGATAAGAAGATTTTTTTTCTTTTTTGTTACATCTTATGATCCCCCTCAACGTTGAATGATTTGAATCGAAATCGCTTCGTTAGTCTAAAACAAATTCGGTTTGACTACTTGGTAACGATAGGAATTCGTGTTTTTATCGAGAAGATATTTAAAGTTTGATAGACTTCATAAAAATGTTTTTCATTGATGTATTAAATTTAGTGGGTGTTTGATGGGGATTAAAATTAGATTTTTAGTAACTTGTGATAGAAGTTTTTGAAATGTGTGGTTGAAAAGTTGTAGGACACATGAAAGACGTGGTTAATATTGATTGTTTGACTTTGATTTAGATTAAAATCTGATTATAATCAGAAACAAACAAGGCCTAAGTTATTTCTTCGTTTGAAGATATAACCATCTCAACATTTTGTGCCATGAGCAAAAAACTATACTCATAAATGCATTTCATTGAATTTAATTTTAATATTATCTCCTAAATTATTAACAATAATAGAAAAACATTAAGAACTACCCACCAAGAAATTAATGAGATCCCACATGATTCCAGTGACCACATGCAAATGAGTACGCATTAATTACTTTAATTTCATGTTTTCTACATAACACAAGTCATGAGTACTATATATGGTTGGTCTGCTTAAAAGTATGTTTTCCTCACTTTTTTGGGTTAACTTGTACGTGATAAGTCGTATACTGCCAAAAATATGGGTCCTGGTAAGACTTCTGAAAAGTTAAAAACAATTTTCATAATTAAGAAACTATTTTTGAACATATTTTGACCCAAGATAACTTTCTTAAAAACTCTTTTAGAAAAAGCAGAAATCCTACCAAACGAATCCTAAAAATTTAAAAGGATTCTTTAAGCAGGATCAATCGTGCTCGAGATGGAAGGCGATTCATCTAGTCATATATTTATTGAAAATAAGAACTAATTTGGCATTGAAGTAAATACTATGCACATTTGATTGCAAAATTTAAAAATTAAACAACTATACATGATGTGCTAGTGGTTTTGTATCACGAGGGTTTCTGAATTGATACTCCTAAATTATAAGAAATTGTAGAACCCTAAGATCGATTCCCTTTGCTCTTGCATTTAATGCTTCTCACATGATTCCAAGCTTCTAATCTACTATTCCAAGAAAAACAGAACAGGGTCACAATTCTATATTGCATCCCACTATAATATATATATTTGTTCTGTCAATAATTTTAATTACACATATTTTGGACCCGTTTTGTATGAGTTTTAAAAAGTTAAAAGCCGATTCTGAACTAAGAATATGCTTTTGAACATGTGTATATATTTTTTGAAAGTACTTTGTTTGGTTAGAAGATCTTTTAAAAAAAACTAATATACCGTAATTATCTTAAAAAACTCTTTTACAAGAAATAAAAGTAAAATCAAAAGTCTTATCGAACATGACCTTAGTACGTTAGCTTGAACAAGCCCAGTTCGCAAGATTCAACGTTTTTTCTTAATCATGTTTAGTTCAATGAATATAGACACGATATAACATACGAAGGTCATCTATCACTCTTCCCAAATATGTCCATTCTTGTATAGTCGAGTACATGATAATATAAGGTACATAAGATTAATAAAAATGGGACCCTTATTTTGAGTGTAAAATTCAATTTTGGAGGCCCAATGTCCTTAGGAAGAAGTGTATCGACAGGATGAGAACCTTGTAAAGATAGTTTATTGTGTGTTGAAAAGTGTTTCTTACGTTAAATGAATAAATTTATAAAGTAATGGAGAAAAAACAGACATCTTCACCGTCTTAGAGAAAATAAAAAACGTGCGAGGCCCAATGCATCACATTAAATGCTCTTAGTGATATGGAAGATTCCATTTTTGGGATGTGGATGTTTTTCAAACTCTAAAACGGTGGGGAAGAAAATATGCGATCTTTGACGATATCCCATTTAATTCATTTTTTAATGTACTCTTAATTTTAGAAAATTGAGTTCTAAAAGATTTATTATTTTAACCTTTTAATAGAATTTTAAAAAGACTATTTTTTTTTTTTCCAGAGAGCATATTAATCATAATAGAAATTTTCTATAAATTTTAAAAAATAAAATTATTTGTAGGCTCTTTGTTTCTTTTTTTTTTCTTTTTTTTTTCAAAAAACACTTGATTTATTCTCGTCTTATATTTTGCCTTTGTTTGGTCCGGACTAAAATTTGATAATCCAAGTCAAAGTCAAACAATCAATATTAACTACATCTTTCATGGGTCCCACAACTTTTCAACCACATGTTTCAAAAACTTCTATCACAATTTACTAAAAATCTAATGTTTCACATTAGTAGAAAAAAATGGACCGATAGTACAGTAGAATAGCACCCATATTTGACCAGTTCGTGTGTTGGTGGAACCCACTTTTTTTGAAAAAAAAAGGTACAAATTTTCATTTTCTTGCTTAAATAATGTGAAACAAATAGGAGTTTAATCTCCACCAAACACCCTCTTAATATTTTTTTTTAAAAGTCAATGATCAATTAGTTTAAATATAGTGTGTGTTTGGTAGTGATTTTTTGAGGGAAGAATAGATTTTAAATAGTGATATGATGAGAAATGTGTGGTTGAAAAAAAAAAGATAAAATTATTGATGTGATAGAAAATATTATTTTATTGAAGAATGTGTGGTTGAAAATGAGAATTGATTTACTGTTGAAAATGAGAATTGGTACCAAACATAGCCAAAATTGCAATACCTATAAATGACACTAAGTATTATGAGAATTAGTACCAAACATAGCCATAATTTGAATTATAGCATTGTGAATACTATAGCTTATTTTAAAACTAAAAATATTTCTAAAGCTTATTTTTAAGCTTAACCTATGTCCAAGAGACTATTTTTAAAGAGAGCATCTTGATTGTAATAGAAAAAAAAATTTAAATATAAAGTTTACGCTCCAAAAAACTCTTTACTTTATACTCTCTCTTTTTTTCAACTATCCTTTATTATTTTTCTTTTATTTTCAATTAATATAAATATTTTTTTAAATGTCAATAAATAAAATATTAATTATAATATTAATAATTTAAGTGGTGAAAATTGAAACTTGTAATAAAGAACTAAAAATAGAGAGTTTATTGAAATGTGTCAAAAATTTTACTTTTTAAATTTAAAAATACTCCCTATTATGCACAAGATGATTTTAAAATTTAAAGAGTCTCTTAGTGCTCTCTATTTATAAAATAGTATCTTATGGATGAGAATATCTTTAAATTTAGAGATTAAATTTTTTATCAATGCTCTCTATTTTGGCTCTTCATTTTTTTAAAGAAAATATTTATTAATTTTTTTCTCATTTATTATTTAACATATTTTTTTATATGTCAATGTTCAAATCAATTTAAATGTGATTTGACTAATTTAAGAAGCAAAAGAAAAATATTAAAATTAGTAACTTATTATATATCGATTATAAAGTAAGAATAGAAAGTGAACATCGTCTCTCCAAATTTGGAGATTCAAACCCATTATTTATTTTAAAAATTTAAATTACAAAGTTTTTTGAAACTTATTTTTAAGCATTTGTTCTTTAAAATAGAGAACATCTTGTATTTAGAGATTCCATTAGAGATGTTCTTAGAACATTTCCAAAAAACTCTATTTATAAAGCACATCAAATGTATAATAAATGGTATCTTTAAACTTCAAATTTAGAGATTACATTTTTTTACACACTTCAACAATACTTCGTATTTTAGCTCTATATACATTTTTAATTTCTAAAATGTAAAATATTGAAATTTATAACTTTTTAAAGCCTTGTTTGATTCCCATTTTTTTCCAAATTACATTTTTTTCTCTCTTCTTTCCAACTACACATTCATCAATAAAATAATATTGCACGAAAATCTAAAAAATTTCCTTATTTTTTAACCATACTGTTTCCATCAATTTACCATTTTAAAATGCGTTCTTAACTTTTCAATGGGGCTCAAAAAGACTCTAAATGAATCTTTATAAAGTAAGAATAGTGGGCGAATTTGACTCTTTGAATTTGGAAAGTCGAGCATGAACATATTTTTAAACATTCACTCTCTAAAATAGAGAACATATTGTATATAG